TATGTCTAGAATATATAGATAATAGTGACCACTGAGGAAGGCCCTTAGGGGCCGAAACGCATTTGGTCTTCAGTTGTAAATTATTTACCCATCATATGTATGTATAATCTTTTATAGACAATAATTTTTAATCAGGAGAGTTTTAACATGTGTACACCTTAATAAATATTTGTACTTTTTTATATATATGGTTTAGCTTAGCCCTTTTGGTTCGTTGTCATAGCCTGGGTTGAGTTCCCCCCCCTTTCCCCCCCCCAGTTTTTTGAAGGGAGTTTTGACCCTCGAAAGCTTATACCCAGAAAAATCTTGTTGGTCTTTAAGTTGCTATTGTACTGAAATCTAACTCAGTTATGAGACTATGTGGGACAAAGTGCTGGGTCTGAACGTGGGTGGCCCCTCTCTGTTTTAACCAGCCTCACTCTGTTTGTAACTTGTCCTAAACCTTTAAGAACATAAGATTTGCCTTGCTGAATTAAGTCTGATTGATCTGATCTGATTGGGTTTTTTTCCTTCCAAAGCACCTTACAATAATAAAGTCAAACTAAAATAAAACCACATTTTTGCTTAAGTGGCACTGGTCAAAAGAATAAAGGAAAACAGATCTGGGGGTAGGACAGTCCTTAGTCTCCAGCAGTGACCCTGGGCAGAAAATTGCCTTCCAGTTATGTCACAAAAGGAGCTGCGGTGGCTCAAGTGGTTAAGACGCTGAACTGCAGGCTGTGGAAGTTCGGTAGTTCAGCAGTTCGAGACCCGAGTGTGCCGCATGACGGGTGAGCTCCCGTCTCTAGTTCCAGCTCCTGCCAACCTTGCAGCTCAAAAGCAAGAAATCGCAAGTAGATAAATAGGTACCACTTTGGTGGGTAGGGAACAGCGTTCCATGCGCCTTGGTGTTCAGTCATGCCAGCCACATGACCACGGAGACGTCTTCGGACAGTGCTGGCTCTTCGGCTTTGAAACGGAGATGAGCACCGCAACCCTAGAGTCGGATTCAACTGGCTTTCGAGCAAGGGAAACCTTTACCTTTACCTATGTCACAAAAAGGCATGATAGAGAGAGCCATGCAAACCGTTTTCTGCTCGAGGGATGCTGGACACGACCCAAAGGGATTCTGCAATGCAAAACGGGTCCAGCTACTGTGGCTTGCTCATAGGCTTGCCAGTCTCCAGGTGGGGGCTGGCGATCTCCTGGGATTATGACCAATCTCCAGAGGACAAATATCAGTTCCCCTGGAGAAGATTGGCTGCTCTGGAGGGTGGACTCTGTGGCACTATGACCTGCAGGGGTCCTTCCCCTCCCCAAACGCCACCCTTCTCAGGCTCCATCCCAAATCTCCAGAAATCCCCCACCCTAGAATTGCCAACCCTAGTTGCTCATCAATAGCCTAGAAGCAGAAACAGGATGGAGAGTCAGTTTGGTGCTAATAAGGTGCTTGGGGACCAACGGAAGGAATAGCAGGCAAGAGCTCTTTGTGCCTTCAGATATACCTCGTCACTCCAGGCTGCTGTCGGGCCCGGAGCAGTCCGGCAATGGTGCTTGGGGAACCTTCTTCTACCTGAAGGACTGCCAGCCATTTGAAGGGAACAAGTGGTGAGTAGTTCTCTTCTCTCTGTTTCTCCAGTAGGTGCTCTGGGCTGTCTCTCACTTCCTTCCTAGCAGACCCTTCTTACCAGGGACACTCGAATAAGTGCCTAGACCATGTGGCCAGAATTTATTTATTTATTCAATTTCTATTCAATTTATCTATTCAATTTCTGAGCGGTTTACATGGGTATTTAAACTTCCTAGCTAGGGCCACACAATGTAGGGGGAGGTGATTGCCTACTAGGCACCCCACCGGCTTAGATGTTCCTGTGGCTTCCTCGTGGTGGTTCGGCACAGCTCCGCAGCAGCTCCTTCAGGGGGAGTTCCCATAGTCCACGACTGTGCAATGACTTGCTGCACCGGCCTCTGTCCGATTGGCTCTGGCCATGCTGCGTCGCCGCGTCCTTGGACCAGACCCCTGCCCGGAACGCCAGCTGCTTGATGTCGACTCGCCACCATGTTCTTTTTTCGCCGGATCGCTCCACCGCTCCACCGCCATTGCCTGCCGCCAGCACCACAGTTCTTCTTTTTTGTTGCCACTTTGCACCAGAGTTCTTTTTTGTTGCCACTTTGCACTTTGCACCGGAGGCAGGTGCCCCCCTGCACCTAAGGCAGGTACCCATTTATCTTCTTGCAAGGCTTTCAAACCGCTGGGTAGGCGGGAGCTAGGACAAGGGCCAGGAGCTCACCCCGGCCGCGGTGGGACTCGAACTGCCTAAGGCAGTTGATGGATTATCTTGCAGGCTGTTTTACTGCCTGCGCCACCGCTCCTTATTTAAGCTTTGCCCAAACGTTTGTGCCAGCCGAGCAAAAGGAACGGTCCGTTTGAGTGGATGACGGTGTGACAAATGAAGGTCAATGTCAGTAAGTGTGAGGTGATGCACACTGGGACAAGAAAAAAATCCAACTTCAAGTATAGGCTAATGGGGTCTGAACTTGCTGGGACTGAGAGGGGGAAAAAAGATCTTGGGGTCGTAGTGGGTAGCTCAATCGAAAAAAGTCAACCCAGTGTGCGGCAGTTGTGAAAAAGGCAAACTCTTTGTTAGGGATGATTTGGAAAGGGACTGAGAATAAAGTGGCCGGTATGCAATGCTCCCTCTAAACTGTGGAGTCTTGCGAGCAAAAAATTCTACTTTGTGAGCTCCTGGCGCTAAAGTTGTGAGGGAACGATTTGGCTACTGTGTAAATGAGTTTGCTCTGGAGCCCTCCTTCCTGAGCTGAGACAAAAATGTGTGAGCCGGAAGCTAAAAAACTGTGAGCTAGCTCACACTAACTCAGCTTAGAGGGAACACTGCTGAGATGGTAATGTCCCTGTATAGATCTAGGGTTCAACCTCATTTGGAATACAGTGTACAGTTCCGGTCACCAGCTGGAAAAAGTACAGAGGTGGGCAACCAAGATGATTAGGGGATTGCAGCACCTTCCCTAGGAGGAAAGGCTGAAGAATCTGGGACTTTTCGGTTTAGAAAAGAGATGACTGGGGGTGGGGGGGGGATGACAGAGGTTTGCATTGGATTATGGATTGCATTGGATGGAGAGAGTTAACAAAGAGAAAATTTCCCCCCTCTCCCAAAATACTAGAACACAAGGGCATCCTGTGAAGCTAATGGGCACTAGGTTCAGGATGGGCAGAAGGAAATACTACTTTACACAAAGGGTGATTAAAATGTGGGATTCACTGCCAGAGGATGTAGTGAAGAGGACCACAGAACTAAACAGCTCTGAAAGGGGATTAGATAAATTCATGGAGAATAGGTCTATCAATGGCTACTAGTCAGGGTGGCAGAGGGGCACCTCCACGAAGCCTCTGAATCCCAGAGCCAGGAGGCAACTTCGGGGGAGGCCTCGGCCTCTCTGCCCTGTGGTTGGCCCTCCAGAAGAACTGTTTGGCCACTGTGTGAGACAGGAAGGTGGACTAGAGGGACCCTCACTGGTCTGATCCAGCAGGGCTTTTCTTATGTTCTTAGACTGGCTATAAGAATTGTTCTCGGGACATTTCACAGAGGTCAGCCCTCCCACACATTTCCTTTCTGCTCCTTAATGAACCACCGGGATCCCGACTACCACCTGTCAGTTTCTTCCTTATAGTTGGAGTGAGGGAATCACAATTGAGAGCACTTTGTGCAGAAATGAACATTTGGGTCAGACCTAAAGGTCAATTCTATTGTACAAGACAGCTGGAGGCACCTGTGGAGCATTTTGGGTGGTCTAGCATATCCCAGGATGCAAGGTCCTAATTCCCCCCCTCATATGTGATGGCCTGAGAACCACATGCATTTGAAAGTTCCCTCTGTAAAATGACGATAAGGCATCTAAAATCAGAGCCTTCTTCTGCCAGAGTTGTACGATTAGGGGTAGCCCAAAGCATACCTTGGAGAGCAACGCTACAGTGCTATGCAAAAGTATGATCATCGTCACCATTATTACTATTGATAGTATTAGTATTAATGTTTCCTATGACTTGCTTCTTCTAAGTGTGGAGGCTTCTTCTGTCAAAGTAGGGCTTTCCAATTAGTGAAGTGGAGTCATGAGGGGAAAGGCCATGGCTCAGTGGTAGAGCATCTGCTTGGCATGCAGAAGGTCCCAGGTTCAATCCCCAGCATCTCCAATTGAAAGGATCTGGCATTAGGTGATATGAAATATCTCTGCCTGAGGCCCTGGAGACCCATGGCCAGTCTGTGTGGACAGTACTGACTTTGATGGACCAAAGGTCTGATTCAGTATAAGGGAGCTTCCTGTGTTCATGTTTGTCCAACTCAAAAACAATGGATACTTTTCAGTATTCAAAATGCTTCCCACCTGTGATCAAGGAACCAGTTCCTTATTCAGCCCATTGAATAATGAGCCGGGAGAAAAGAACGAACTTCACCCCCATTCATCCTTGATTTCTGTTAGCTGTACCATTAAGGAGCAGCATGGGCCCACACTCAAAAGATCCTACAGTCTCAATTCTCCTTTTGAGAGCCCGCCTGTGGGTTTTGAGCCTGTCTGGTGGTGGAGAGCAGATGCCTAGGAATGTATGGAAGTTTTGCTGGAGGAAAAGTTTCTTGGTCTTTGAAGGCGCCACAGGACACATGGAGCTGCCTTATACTGGATTGGACCCTGGGTCCACCAAGGCCAGTCTTGTCTGCTCAGACTGGTAGTGGCTCTCCAGGGTCTCAGAGGGAGGTCTTTCCCATCACCTACTGCCTGCTCCTTTAACTGTGGATTCACAATACAAGAACTCGTGGGCACTCCATGAAATTGCTGAGCGGTCGGGTTAGAACGGATAAAAGGAAGTACTTCTTCACCCAAAGAGTGACCAACACATGGAATTCACTGCCACAGGAGGTGGTGGCGGCTACAAGCATGGACGGCTTCAAAAGGGAATTAGATAAGCATATGGAGCAGAGGTCCATCAATGGCTATTAGCCACAAGGTATAGATAGGGACTCTGGGGCAAGTGATGCTCTGTCTTCTTGGTGCTTGGGGGGGCCAACAGTGGGAGGGCTTCTAGTGTCCTGGCCCCACTGGTGGACCTCCTGATGGCACTGGTATTTCTGGCCACTGTGTGATACAGAGTGTTGGACTGGATGGGTCTTTGGCCTGATCCAACATTGGCATCTCTTATGTTCTTAGGGTTGAAGCTGGGACCTTCTGTATGCCCAGCAGATACTCTACCACGGGGTCATGCCATCTGTAACAGCCACGATGGTGTTTGAGTCCCGGTTAATGCAATCCAGTCTACAGTTCAATCCCA